GTGTCACCTCTGACACGTGTCATAGGTTCGCCATCAATGCTCTAGTCTATAATAATATAAGCACAATATGCTAATTAGACCAGACGTCCTTCCAGATGTCCTTCCAAATGACGTTCCAGACAAAGCCAGGGCCGGAGGGAAGCCCAGGTCCTGGGTCCCGTAGGGAAGCTGGTGCCGGCAGCCAGGAGAAGGAAGGCCTAATCTTGCACGAATTTTGTGCACTGGGCCTCTAGTTATTAATAACGAACTACAACGTTCACTAATGACTGATGACTCTCATTGTGTGGCATTCATCTCCCTTACGCGCAGGCACACCATTTCTCTCTACTGACACCAGCAGCAAATATTCTAGCAGCCAATGGCCACGTGTTTCATCTTGGACTGACTTGTTGGGTATGCACAGCAGGAAATATTTTGCTTTTGGAGAACAAGAAAAATAGGTTTATTTGCGTGATGCTTACTCATCTGTGCAGTTACTCAGTGTCTGGTAAGTTCCTGTTCAAGAGAAAAATATTAATTTTTATTAAAATGTTCTATTGTTTTGTGTTAACGACGACTCATTTCATTTTCTATGAAAATGGAAGCTTTGCTTTTTGTGGCCACATCCACTTACACCTTTTTATCTGGCCCGTGGGAGCCTGTGTGACCTGCTTCACAGTTTGGGGGATAACGGCCCACCTTCGATGCGAGGGGCGCTGGGAAGTGGCGTTCCCGGTCTCCAAGGATGTAGTGGGGCTTAGTAGCTCTTAAAGGGGGCGTACCTACGTTTCCCTGGGGTGCAGTCTGGCACCAAGTGTCAGAAATAGACATTTGAGCCCTGGCTGGTTTCTCACAGTTTGGGGGATAAAGGCCCACCTTCCACGCGAGGGGCGCTGGGAAGTGGCGTTCCCAGTCTCCAAGGATGCCCTGGGGCTTAGTAGCTCTTAAAGGGGACGTACCCGTTTCCCTGGGGTGCAGTCTAGGGCAAGTGTCAGAAATAGACATTTGAGCCCTGGCTGGTTTGGTCGGTCCTCACGATGCCCCGCCCAGTTCCCAGGAGCTTCCCCAAAGTCCCCCTTTCACTCCACCAAGACGCCTGTCACCGTCCACATCTGGGGTGCTCCCAGGGCTGGGGGGGCCGGGAGCCGGTCTGTGATGAAGACGAAACACATTTCGGTCACCAAAACGACCAAATACTCATTTCTTAGAAATCACCACCTTCCAGAATTCCCGCTGCTCGGTCAGCACTCGAGACTACACCCCTGCCCCTGCCCCCTGGACACAGAGACCCCGAGGCGCACCCCTCACCCCTGCCCCCTGGATACAGAGACCCCGGTCAAGGGCACATGCCTGGGTTGAGGGCTCGATACCCAGGGCGTGCAGGAGGCAGCGGATCAATGACTCTCATCTTGATGTTTCTATCTCCCTCTCCCTTCCAGCGGTTCTCAACCTGTGGGTCGCGACCCCTTTGGTGGTCGAATGAACCTTTCACAGGGGTCACCTAAGACCATCCTGCATATCAGATATTTACATTACGATTCATAACAGTAGCAACATGACAGTTATGAAGTAGCAACGAAAATAATTTTATGGTTGGGTCACAACATGAGGAACTGTATTTAAAGGGCCAGAAGGTTGAGAACCACTGATCTAG